AGTCTTTGGGCCAGTATTGATGCAAAACCTGCACCTCTTCTGTAGATAATGTTAATTTCATAATGATCCTTACTGCCTGAAGGCAAGCAGGGGAAGTTAAGTGACAATGTGTAAATACTACTGCCCCATTTTTTGGCTCAACTAATAATGACTTGGCAGTTTATCCTTTACTTGCTTTAAAAAACTAAACGGACTTCTCCAGGGAGGAGTCCACCACTGCCTCCCTGCCTGTGTACATGCTGGCTCATTAATGTCGTGTTTTAACTGCTCTAAATGATCACGACTCTTTTAAATCTCATTGTTCCGACGTTTCCGACAGCACCTGAAGGCAGCCACAGCCCTGTCCTCTCCTCCGCCTGTCCATCCATCCTTTCACCAGTCTACTATCGTGTGTGTGTGTGTGTGTAGTGAAGCGTCATTCTCCTCCTTTCTTCCTTTCGGGGAACGCGCATCACTTGTGAGAAACGGCGCCTGAGCTCCCAGAAGTTTCTCGTCTGTCGGCTCGGCTCGGCTCGATTCTCTCCCGCGATATTCTTCCCTCCTTCCCGGTTTTAAACCCTCTTCCTCACTTTCTTTTCTTTTTTTTTTTTAAAATCCGACTCGAGGACTCACTTCGGGGGGTGGTTTTTTTTTTGTCGCGGCCAACACAGGGCGTAGCTGGGAAGGATTTTCGCTAGCCTCGCCGCTGCACTGACTGGTAAGGGCGAGATTGTTTTAGCCTTAGCACGCATGCTATCGTCCGTTTGTAACCAGTGCCAGGCTAATTAACGGTCACCGGAAAGAACTCGGTAAAAAGAACGTTCCGTCTGCCGCCCGTTACAGCCGTTAGTGTCCGTTGTATTTTACCGTGTGCTAACTCGTTTATTATTTTTATTTATTTATTTTTTACGCTGAGTGAAATGACGGCGGCTCTTTGTGTGAATGAGTATTTCTGTTAAATGTGCAGTTGGAAACGTCTCAAAGGTTCAGTTTTGGTGTCACCTCACCTTTCGGTCGCCTGTGTTTCACGTTCAGTTTGGTTCCCGTTGGAAGGGGTCGGTGGGGCGGTGGCAGGCTGCATGGTAGCTGGAAGTGCTCAGCAGACCTGCGAGGCTTTTAACACTAAAAACCCATAAATTGTTTGAATTCATGCTCTCTTGTTGTGTTCATTTACAGAACCGTGTTCCCTCGTTGTGTCGCAATTTTATCTGCTACCTTTGTCTAACCCTAAAAACTGGTTTTCTCCTCATCTCTTTCTCTCTCTCTCTTTCTCTCTCTCTCGCCTCCTTCTCCATCCTCCACCGCGGATGCCCATTGTTCTGTGATGGGCCAAGTGGTGTGTGAGTGCTGAGAAATGTTTCTGTCGCCTCAGGGAGGGAGGGAGAGGGGAAAAAGCCGGCAAATTAAGCTCTAATCAATTTTTGCAGATGCCCACTCCGTTTTCACGTCAACTAAACAGAGTAACTCAGGGGCATGTTAACGCCATAATGTCCTCAGACATTGGAGGGAGTGTGCAACGCTGAAATACCTCGGAGAAGGGCTGTGCATGGACTCGAGCCGGCATGTAATCAGGGGTGATTAATGTCACCCCCCAAAAGTGCTCAGCCATTGTGGTGGTGAGAGTTAAGGCCCCGTAGCTGCTCCTTCACTGACTCTTGTTGGTGAGTGAGTGCAACAAGACAGATTACACTCCCCTCTGTAGAACAATGGGGAGGAGAAAAAGCACTGCCAACTCCCAAAGCCTGGCCAAGAGCGTTTAATAAACTGCAAACATGCAGGGATTGGAAATCTTTATCCTTAGCCCGCAACTCAGTTCTCCTCCCCTGAGCTGCCGCAGACAGCGACACAGATTGCATCTTTTGTGGCCACAGTGGGCACGGGTGGGTCGATAATGTGTGCCGATCGACCGTGAGCCATCGATCAGGTCATCTTGGGTAAATGGTATCCCAGGGCGACTGATATGACCACTTTTAAGCCTCGGCCACGCAGGGGCTTGGAGACCCTCCAGGACCCCCAAGTCAGAGGTGGGCTAAGGCATCAGCTAGTCGGCCCCCCCACCCCCCGCCTGACCTACCGCCTGTGCGTGGAGGAGAGAATGGCTGACTCACAGTGTTGGTGGATGAGGCAGGGAAATGGAGGACAGACGGGCGGCCTAATGCAATCATGTGAAATTCAATTCAGCTGCCATTAAAAACCACACTCTGTTTTTATAAGTTATTTAAGATGGTCTTAAAAAGATTATTAGTTGGTGGATTACTGCCTGAGGCATTTTGTGTGCGGAGGATTTGTCAGAAACTATACTTGAAGAAATGAAGCCGATTATTGTAACTACGGAAAGATATAAAAATGGGTTACAGTCTGTTTTCTATTGCCGAGTGGACCGTAGTTACATCTTTTCTCCGTTGTTGTAGTGTATTTTTAATAGGATATATGACTTTGTGTGCTGTCACTAGCGGACCTGCGCTCTGTTGGATGAGCCAGGATCGAGGGTGGCCGTGTTCACCCTGTAAGCTGCCCGTCGCGGTAACAATGAGAGCGCATTGCCAGTGTCTGAAACAATCCTCCATACACTAAAAACTGTAGCTTCTAATGCTGAAATTGGGATTAAATGAATCGATAAGTGGCTTGACAAACTATCAGATAGTTGTACTTTTGGTAATAAGTTAATTAGTAAATTGTATTTAATGATGTTCTGTCGTAAGTGATAATATCTAATATCTTGAAACATCTGCTTACATGTTCACAAATGCAAAGGGATGCTTGTTTATCGTTGATCTGTGTATTAAGTTTGGGCTCTGGTACCTTGAGATTGGTGTTTTCCATTATTTGTTTTTCATTTTATTGTCATTTATTGATTTAACTACCGCTGAAACAATTAACCTGCAACTATTTTGATGATTAATTGTTTCAGTAATTATTTTTTAGCAAATTGCCAATTACATTCACTGGTTCCAGCTTATTAAACGTGAGTATCTGCTGCTTATTTTTGTCAAATATGATAGAAAACCTTTAGAAAGAAAGTTCAGAAAAATGTATTCATCTATTTAAATTGTTGACAGATTAGTAAAGAATAAAAATAAGCAATTGTTCATGACAAGAATAAGAGTCACTATAATAATGTGTCTCTATTGCAGTTATCCTGTCACAGAATATTCTCACACACAATGACTTTCATGCTCTTGTATTTTAGGGCAATTTAAATTCAAATAACCTCTTTTGCCCCCAGCTAGGCTCCTGACCCTCGCCGCCCATCCTGAGAGAGGAGATGATTGTCCCTTTAATAGACCTGTGTGTCTTAGCCTAAGGACTGGTGTTGGGTCGTTGTGACAAGGGCAACCCTGTGCCTCTGGTCATCGGGCTTTTTCCAGCGTGAACCCGTGACCTTTGCACTTCTTGTCGCCACTAAAAATGACCCCCATCATCTTTAGCCCTGTTTTAATCCGTGGCGACAACAGTTTCTTGTTCAGAGATTATCAAAACACCAGCAGAAACCGTATGTGTGGCTGAATTTCCTCCTCTGTTTTCTGGGCGATTAGGGCTTGAGGAAGTTGCCGCGGGGAAGATAAAGCAGAAATAAACGTTGCTGTCATTCGTGCTCGCAGTCATGATAGCAAGCAGCTTTGGTTGTCACAGTTGTCAGGGCATGCAGTTGGCAACTGGCGGCGCGGTTTTGAGGCTGTATTTGCTAGCAGCTGCAGTAATTTGCTGTTTGGACGCTCTGAATTCCTCTGGTGGGAGGATGGATAATGGACGTGGTTCACAGCCCTGTTGCTAGGCTTTAAGACCAAATTTTTCATGGCACAGTTTGTAAGCGGTGCCTGGTTGTTTGGTGTCGTGCAGCCTTGGAAATCGGGCCAGAAACCTTGTGTCACGGGGTCAGACTTTACATTGACTTTGCTTTACATTTGCTGCTCTGGCCGAGTGGCTGATGTAGTCAAAATTATGTCAGAGGCAACCCACGTGTGGAATGACACTGGTGCTGACAGAAAGATAGGCTCCCTTCATTATAGGCAGCTGTAGGGACCGATTTATTTCTCTGTCGTATCAATTTCTCCTGCTGACATTGAAATCTGGCTCTGCCCAGTCTCACTGTATTTGTATGCTGTCATAATGAGACATACTCAACGCTCTGTGAAGTGCTAAATGTATGCCTTCGTGGTCGTGGTGGATGTGGTGAAAGTTTCTGGCAGTTAGTGGGCAGATGTTGTGTTTTGAGGCCAGCTGTGTGGTTTGTTCTTAGAAAGCTGCAGTTAGTAGGTGGAGATCTGGTCGACCCTCCGACCTGTCTGCCGCCCTGCGAGGGATCAGGTTCCATCTGGAACGTGCCTTGTTCCACTTCAAACAGGAGGACATAATCCTCTTACGGACACAGTCGTTCCACTTGTACTTTGTGTGCCTGTGTCCGTGTCCCCGTGTAAAATCTCGAGAGAAGGCCGAAGCCTCTCGGGTGTGTTTCTGCCGTCCTGTCCAGATGCCTCGGTTCTGCCCTCTTCCTCCGTCTCTGTATCTGCCCTATCTGGCATCATTGATCCAAGCCACCAGCTGGTCCTGGGCTGGCCTGATCTCATTTACCCCCAGAGAGGAGCCTGTCTGTGGGCAGACGGCCCATTATGGAGATGATCCAGCAGCTCTTCAAGTTACAAATTAGCCTTAGTCTCTCTGTGTCCGCTCAGTCAGGGCCTCTCTCTATCTGTCCCACTGTCTCGCTGTTCTTGCTTGCTGCTGCCCCCCTCCTTTCTAATTGTCCTAAAACCATGTCACTACTATCTCTCTTATCTCCCAGGGGAGAGAGTTAACAGCATCAGAGGAACCTGTCTTACTAATGCACTTCCTCTGTCTGTCTCCCTCTCTGTCCTTCCCATCTGTGGAGCTGCTAGCCTGGCTCCCCACTTCCTCCTGTGCGATCAATATCCACACAGTCGAGGTCTGCGCTGCCCTGCTGGTCGTCCCTGCAGGCCGTGGAGCTCAGCCAGGCTGTAGTAGGGCCCTCGCTGCTGGGGCCTTGTTTGTAGTCGGGCTCTGTCTCTGCCCTTTTTGTTTCGGGGCTGATGGACCCTCCAGCCCTGCCTCCGCACAGTATTGTCTAGTTTCTGGGACATACTGACGCCTCTGTCACTGCTGCATATGCCTCCCTCGTTCGTTCTTGTCTGTCTTGGCCTTCTCTCTGTCGCCCGCTCTCTCTATGTCCCCGTAGCCGTGTCTGTGTGCTGTTTGAGGACTGTCGACTGTACAAGATTAGCATCTCTCTTTGTCCAGGGTTAACAAGCTCTGTCATGTGTTAATCTGCCTGTCCCCAGGGGGCCGAGTTTCTCCGAGCCTGGGCGCACAATGGGTAGGACGGGGTTTGAGTGTTTGTGTGTGTGTGTGTGTGTTGTGTGCATCAGCTTGTTTGGTGTTTTTGTAGGAAGGAGGGGGGTGGTGTGAACACACTCAATGCACAGCCCTAAACTGTGACAGGCATTGGTATTTTCTAACACTTGCGGCATTAATACTCGCCTTTTTGCTGATTTGTTGTGTTTTATTACAATGAGAAATGTGATTAACAACGGGGTATGTTTATATAGTCTGGTAATCCCTTCATTTCAGTCGAGTTTTCACTTGAGGACATTGTAAAATCTTGGTGTAGAGCTCCAGAGAGTCTTTAGGATTAGTGCCAGCCTTTCTGATCACATGTTTCTCTGATCCAGGTGTCTGTCACACAATCTGCTGCTCTTTCTC